GCCATGCTGTAATCCCAGCATTTGGGAGGCTGAGAGAGGAGGACCAATTGCCAAGAGTTTGAGGTCAGCCTGGACTACATAGTGAGTTCAAGTCCAGCCTGAGTATATTACAAGACTCTGTCTCAGAAAACAACAAAAAGGAAAATCAATATGGAGTTGGCATCCCATCACTCTGGGAGGCTCAGCAGGGAGAGACCACGACCTCAAGCCTAGCCTGGGCAATTTAGCAACTTTTAGTGAGGACCAGACTCAAAACGATTTGGGATGTAGCTCAGTGTAATGGCCCTGATTTCAATCCTCAGTACCACAAGCACAGTGCTGCTAGTATGGAGGGAGCAAGAGCAACAAAAGAACAACAAGCTCTGAACGTCGAGTTCTAGTGGAGTGGCCTGTAATAAATGCTTACTAAATAAGAAGTGTAAAGTTTGGGATTCAATACATATTTGATGGGAAGCCATAGGTGGGCTAAGCAGTGGACAGACTGATGATAATGGATTAGGCTGGAATGGGTAATTCGCTGTGCCTGGCTCCTACCTTCCAGGTCCACACCGTGGCGCTGGGCCAGATGGAGGACATTGTCCCCGACTCTGCCGCTCACCGGGATCCGCTGGCCTGACCGGTCTATGAACACCACATTCACCCTGGGGACAGACGGGGTGTGGGTGTCGACGTGCAGGACAAGCTCAGGGGCCTCATAGGGTCAGGAACTCGGGAATCGAGCTAGACGGGGATAAAAGAGGGCGAGGCAGATAAAGGACCCTGGAGAGAAGCTGCAGGGCATAGCGGGAACCCAGGAAACCTCGTGGGACGAGGAACGGGGCACTTGGCCCCTGCACTCACACGTCCCCGGGCCGCTCAGAGCCGCCGGTGTCCCCTTCTGCCGGGCGCCTGCCTAGAAAACAGTTGAGTGAGCGGAGGCGCCAGCCGTGCGGGCATCCAACTGGCTAACGCAGCCTGTCCCTGGCGATCGGGGTACCTGTTGTCCGGAATTTCCTGCTTCTCAGCGTCTCTGGGTCCCAGGTCCCGCTCCACCAGGAGGCCCTGGCAGCCCGCAGCAGGAGCCTGACACTCACGCCGCCAGGGACAGTGGGGGCGGCCATGACAGGCGTCACGTGACCCGGTGACTGGGCATGCGCGGCGCCGGCCAAGCGAGCAGAGGTCAGAGCGACGCGAACGTGAACTCGGTTTGCAAGGGATCCACGTGGTGTAAAAGAGCCGCGCAGGGAACCGCACACACACACA